AGTTAATAAAAAAGAGAAATTGTATCTTCAAAGGTGGCATTGAGGTGTTCCAAAGACACTTCATGAATACAGATTTCTTCCAATTCAGGGCTGATGTGAGCAGAATGGCCAGTAGGTCTATCCGGATGCCTAGTAACTTAAATGAACTGCCCTTTTCTTAACAGAAATAGTACAAATTAAATGCAGACCTTGCTATTTTCTCATCTTCTACAACAGAGAGAAAAACCACACCAATTTTCTAAAAGATCATATGAAATAGGGACTTTATATCATCAATATTTTATAACTAAACAGACATTTGATCCCACTTACAGCCACTTGCAGAACCATAACAAATGATACATTCATCTTTCACATTCCATTTAGGTTTTATAGTTTGGGGATTTGGGTTTATTTTGTTTTTAATGCCATATTCATGAGGGTTTATTTTTTCTCTTTCATACTCTAAAGTTCTCATTTCTTTACTAAAAAAAAAAAAAGATCACTATTTTATTAGCAAAATGAATAACCAACAAATCAACAAGAACAATGGCAGCCACCAAATTAGATGACAATCCATGCTTTTACTGTGGTTTCCAACACTAAGGAAGCAAAGGTCTTCAGATTTTTTTTGGTTTTCTTTTTACTTTTGAACTTACAAAACAACGTAGTAAAGAGTATAACAAAGGGTGAACTAAGAAGCATTTGGTTTTCAGAACCTATCCAACTCAATTACAACGAATTCCACCACCTGCTACTGTGACGGAATGTGCTTTTACTCAAAGACATCGGGTTTATGGGCTTTGAAAAAATCCTAAGGGCTCTCATATAGCCAACACCAAAATGTGTGAATGAAATGTTCTTTATGCACTTATACTTTTCGCTATTAAAAATACTAGTGTCAACAAACACGTGTAAATTCATGAAATACTCATTCCTTGAATACGTAATATGTACTCAGGACTGCATTAAATTATATGAACGAGCTCTAGACAATATGGTTTCTATGAGAAGAAATCCAGGTCCACAGCCATAGAAAAATTCACCTGATGTATGTGCCAGACACATTTACAAACATGGTTCTATGTAATTTTGAGAAATACTTTTAAAATCATAGATATAGATGACCTCATTTGACAGTTGAGAAAAGCAATGTTTAGAGATATTTTGTCATTTGTCCAATAAAACTTAGATTATTATTCAGAAATTTTCTTGGTATAGACTTTAATTGGAAAACCCTTGAAGAACTGGGTGGGGTTTAAAAAAAAATCCATATTTTTTGAAATCCTTTTTTGAAAGGATATTATGTTTTTGCAAGTTTACATAAATTGTAATAAATGGAACATTTCCATATTATATTTGTCTATTTTACATTGTTATATTTTGCATATTATTTAAAACATGTAGTATAATATATAATTTCCGATATATTTATGAAATCATGGATAAGTAAAAAAATAGACAACTTCAAACCAGTAAAAAGAATAATTTTGCATTGACAATAAATATTCTTAGGTACAAATGCTTACTTTTCAAGAATGACTCTGGGAAACATGTGTATGTGAACGTCTTTGGTAGCACTGGTGTTCACAGGCCTGAAGACATATACCTAGCCATGTCTGTTCTTTCCTTAGATGCAGCATCAAAGGATCCCAGAGAGAAAGAAAAGGCCTCTACAATCTAAGTTCCACTCTGAACCATCCTGCTTCCTCCATACCTTGCCAATAGGTTCGCCTCCCAGTATTCTGAGTAATTTATAATCTAGATAATCTAGATGAAGGACTCAAACTAATCACAACAGTATGAGAGGTAAGGTAGCATAGGATCTTTGCTTTCAGATGGTACTCAAAGGAGGTGGTGTTGAAAACTTTTCAAATAGGATAGGAAGAGTCTACTGAGGGCTTCTTGAGAAGGTGAATTTTGGAAGAAATACTTGACATAGCCCAGTAGAGGTATGAAAAGATAATTTTATGTATATTAATAATATAAGTCTGATGTTAAAAATAAGGTATTGAAAGATAGAAGAGGAATATCTGGACATAAGGATTTCTGTTAATCTATAAGACATGGATTAGTTAAAAGTAATATTCAGATTATGGGCAAAAACAATGTCTTTCTACCATATTATTTTTTAAAAATGTTTTTTATTAATTTTTAGAGAGAGAGGAAGGGAGAGAGAGAGGTAGAAACATCAATGATGAGAGAGAATCACTGATCAGCTGCCTACTGCACACCACCCACTGGGGATCGAGCCCACAACTTGGGCATGTGCCCTGACCAGGAATCGAACCATGACCTCCTGGTTCATAGGTCCACGCTCAACCACTGAACCATGCTGGCTGGGATAGACCATATTATGTAAGCTATACTGAAGTTCAAAAAAATTATTTAAATTTCTTCCAATAAAAATAATTACTGCAAAAGAGTTAGACAGGTAGGCTATAGTATTAAATGCAGTCAATTATAAATATATGTTTAAAACAGCAAGGCTACATATTTTATTAAATGTTTATGGATAGTTTTGCTTTTGCCTAATATATACTAGTATGTTAAAAGTGATCACAAATACTGAGTAAATACAGGGGTGGGGCAAAGTAGGTTTACAGTTGTTCATATGGAAAATAATACAAAAATTAATAAATAATAATATAAGAATAAACTGTGTTTCATGTACTCACCACTGAAAACCTACTTTTGCCTCACCCTGTACATAACTATGTAACACTTGTGAGGAAAAATATGCAGTCGTATAACTCCCAAAACATATTATAAGTACATTTTTTTTCATTTATTACAAAGACTTCTCAAAGTTAACATATAACAACAACAACAATAATAAAACCCTCTAAAATATTTAATATGCTAAATTAGAAATAATAGGCGTGAGTGGGATACAGACAGAACAAAATCCTTTCATTTACATGCTAAGGTAGAGTAAGAGTCTAGAGTATGGGTTAATATAGCATGCTTAATTTTGATGCTTTTTGTTTTCATCTCTAAGGAGACAAGTGCATACACTTTCTCATCCCCCTAAACACTAACTTGCGTATAATATGCCACATGTTCAACAGCCTGTGAAAAATTGAATTCATACCACTTCTTTAGAAACAACATTAGTAAATCCAGTTTTCATAATATTTGGTTTTGATTGCATAGTCTTAGTCTGGAGGCAAAGTTGCAAATGATTTAGAAGCAAGTGTCTAGGAAAAGTCCAAATCCAATTTGTGTTCTCTAATTACAGGCTCAATGCTCTCAGTGATTTTGTTTGAAAAAGCCACCTCACACACCCTTTTCATTCTTTCCTAAAGAAAGGTCAAGACAAACTCAACTTCTGCCTATTAAAAAAGGGAAGGTAAAATTCTCTCCTAATTCATTGCTAGTTTCATCTGATATTATTTTACAAAGACAAAGAACTGCTTTGCTATCCCCCCTCCCCCTTCACTGACAATATAACAAATTTGGAGAAATTTAAATTAATAACAATCTATCACCCATAATCCTACCACCTCAATACAAATATTTTTGTTCTGCTTAATATTGCCAGTATTTTATAGGACAGACAACACAAGGTATTTTTGAGCATCATCCATGTATTAACTCAATTACTCATTAGAATTATTCATCTATATTATTATTCATCTATATCAATATTAATCATACATATTTTCATATTAAATGATTTCCCTAGGTGGCTCCCTCCCTCCCTCCCTCTCTCTCTCCCTTCCCCCCCCTCCCTTCCTTCCTTCCTCCCTTCCTTCCTTCCTTCCTTCCTTCCTTCCTTCCTTCCTTCCTTCCTTCCTTCCTTCCTTCCTCCCTTCCTTCCTCCTTTCCAGATATGTGGGTCTGATCAATTATATTCTGAAATTCTTTCTCCTAAACATCAAACTTTCTCAAGCCTATCATTGTACTTTGCCTTTATAAACTTAATTTGCCCCAAAGGAGTCTCCATATTCTCTATCCACAATATTTCGCAGATACCCCTCTTGTAGATACCTGTTACACTCTCACATATATTAGGCTGATAGACTAATCCTAATCATTTGATTAGTATTAGTTTCTTGGTTTTCTTGATGGTTGCTTTTTCAACTAGAAATTGAGCTATTAGGTGACAGAAACCATGTCTTATTTTTTTTCTTGCAGTACCTGACCACCTAGTGCTTTTTTTTTTAAGTTTATAAGAGACATGAAGTGTGTGATCTGCAGTGTATGAGTATTCATTCCTAAGACTTTTGCACATTATACTTATATGTGAAATAGGGACAGTGTTTAGAATGATCTTGGCTCTGCCTTACTTATTAATCTCAGTATCATCAAAGTGACTGGTTTAGAGGAACAACAAATAACATGTTACAGGAAGCATTCCAATTTTCCAGTAAGAACTGAGTCATGAAAGAGAGACCATATAGATTTCATAAATAATATAATGCAACTCTTAAGAGTATTGGATTCCAAGCCATGAAGAAACATGAGCCATAGACATAGTTAAATAACTTCAACAATATTTCCCCCCTCCAAAAATAGAAAAAGCCTTAATAAGATACCAAATCTGAGATCCTATGAGGTGCTTACAGCTAAAGCTTAGACACAATGGGCCCATCAGTAAATTCATTCCTAGTCAACCAATGTTGCTAAAGCTTTAAAGAACAGATAAATTAAAACGTGTTTTGCATGGGAAAGTTTTCCCCAGAGTTCCTCATTTTTATATAGGAAATCAATTTGCATCACTGATGATATCATTCATACCAGACAACCCAAAGTTGTTAAGAGGTAATTTAGTTTTATGCTGAAAGCAATTTGGTACTTGTTCTAATTTGTGAGTTTCATTTTGTTTGTTAATGAAAAAAATTAATGAGCAATGGTACTAGAAACACAACTCAGCAAAACCTCGGCAATATCAGAGAGGTTTGCCATATACTGTACATCACGACCCTGTGCAGCAGGCGCCTGGGCCTCCACCTGGGCAGGGCTCTCAATGTATCAGCACAGTCCAGAGCTAAAGGTACAGATGCCCTCACACATACCTTTGCACTGATTTGTGTTTTTGTCAAGAATTGCCTTTGTCGATACAATTTTTCCATACCTGAAAGAGAGAGAGAGAGAGAAAAAAAAAAAGTTACCGTAGCCCAATGAAGACACTTAAAAACAGTAATGAGCATGGGTGTACACACAATGGAGCAGGGATAAACCAAGGACAAAGCTCTGAACTCCCATTTCATACCTGGATGATCTCTTTTCACCAGTTCTTCTCTATACCTGGTGAATGTGCTTCCCAAAATAATCACTGGGTGGAGCCTTCAGAAATAGACCTGTCAGGGTGTCATAGGTGGCTGAGAGGGGACCGCCTGTGATTGTAATCAAAGTAAATCGCACTCTGGGGATGCGTGGAAAAGTACAGACCTAGTGCCAGGCTGACCAGGGCTGGCATCCAGCTTTGGTGCTCACCTAGTGTTGCAACCCTGAGCAGTTAAACACAACTTCCCCAGGCCAGTCTTTTTATCTCTAAAAAATGAAAATTGTAATGATCACCTTTCAGGATTTGAGAGAGTGTTAAATTGAAAAGTTGAGATTGTCTATCAGGGCTTGTAGGGTAAATAAGAACAAATGTATTTATTAGTTGGTTATTTTACTACTAAAAATATATTATGTTGTAAGTTAATTAAGGATAAAGACAGCTTCGTATTCTCAATGACTGCCACCAAAGTCAATAGAAGTCAAATAAATGCTTGTTATAAGTAAATAAATTATCCAATGGTACTTCATCTACAACAAAGTGTCTACCACATATTCATTATTTAATCATCTCTTGCAGACAACCTGCTCTAGGCTTTGTTTCAAAAATATGGGTTACATGAAGAATAAAATTCAATCTCTTTGAGCTGTCCCATGGAGTACAACTGATGGGACTAAATTAGGTGATTTCCTAAAACCCTGTTCTTTAGGATTCCACGAAGGGTGATTCTGACTCAACATAATAACACGGAGAAGCTATCATGCAAATTTGGTGCAGTGCCTAATTATGACATCATGCTGCCTCTGAAATAGAGAAGATACATATATCAAATCTTCTAGTTCAATCAACTTTCATTTCTTTGGGAAACCAAGGCAATATAGTGTTGAGTTAAAATAACATACTGTGACAACAATCTATCATGGCTTGAATCTCAATTAAGACCCAGTATATTTGGTTGGTTAAACTTATGTGTTCTTTGCATCATTTCATCATCTATGATAATATGAAGCAATTTTTAAATATCGGTTTTGATTATTTATTTAAATGTATATGCATCTATTTAAATCTATAACATGATGACACTGGTCTTTACCTCACAGGGTTATTGTGGGCATTAAATGGGGTTACCAAAAGTGCTGATAACAGTGGCTGGCATAGAATAGGTGCTCACTAAGTATTAGTTTTTCTTGCAATGACTCTCTTCCTGTTATCTGCTATATAAAAATGTCCAGTCTTTGACATTTTCTAAGATGGGTAAGAGGTGAATGGGGGTAAAACTACTATCCCAAATGGCAGTTTAAAACATTACTACTTGTTTAATTCCTTTATCCATTTTGAGTTTATTTTTGTGTGTGGTATAAGTTGGTGGTCTAGTTTCTTTTCTTTTCTTTTTTTTTCTTTTTTTGCATTTATCTGTCTAATTTTCCCAACACCATTTATAAAAGAGACTGCCTTGACTCCATTGTATGTTCTTGCCTCCATGAGCATAGTGGTTTGGGTCGATTTCTGGGTTCTCTATTCTATTCCATTGATCTATATGTCTGTTCTTGTGCCAGTACCAGGCAGTTTTGAGAACAGTGGCTTTGTAAGACAGCTTGATATCTGGTATTGAGATCCCTCCTACTTTGTTCTTCTTTCTCAGGATTGCTGCAGCTATTTGGGTCTTTTTTTTATTCCAGATGAATTTTTGGAGAGTTTGTTCTAGGTCTGTGAAATATGCCAGGAAACCATAAAAATATTAGAGGAATCCACAGGCAGCAAAATCTCAGACATATGCTGAAGCAATATCTTCACTGATACAGCTCCTAGGGCAATGGAAACTAAAGAGAAAATAAACAAATGGGACTGCATCAAAATAAAAAGCTTCTGTACAGCAAAAGAAACCATCAACAAAACAACAAGAAAGCCCACTGCTTGGGAGAACATATTTGCCAATATTATCACTGATAAGGGTTTAATCTCCAACATTTACAGGGAACTCATACAACTTAACAAAAGGAAGATAAACAACCCAATCAAAAAATGGGCAACAGACCTAAATAGATACTTTTCAAAAGAGGACATAAGGAGGGCCAAGAGACATATGAAAACATGCTCAAAGTCACTAATCATCCAAGACATGCAAATCAAAACGACAATGCAGTAACATCTCACACCTGTCAGAATGGCTATCATCAACAAATCAACAAACAAGTGCTGGCGAGGATGTGGAGAAAAAGGAACCCTCGTGCACTGCTGGTGGGAATGCAGACTGGTGCAGCTACTGTGGAAACCAGTATGGAGTTACCTCAAAAAACTAAAAATGGAACTCCAATTTGACCCAGTGACCCCACTTCTATGAATATATCCCAAGAAACTAGAAACACCAATCAGAAAGGATATATGCACCCCTATGTTCATAGCAGCACATTTTACCATAGCTAAGATTTGGAATCAGCCTAAGTGCCCATCAGCAGATGAGTGGATTAAAAAACTGTGGTACATCTATAAATGGAATACTATGCTGCAGTAAAAAAAAAAAAAAAAAGGAATTCTTACCATTAGCAACAGCATGGATGGAACTGGAGAGCATTACGCTAAGAGAAATAAGCCAGTAAGAGGTAGGTAGATATCACATAATCTCACTTATTTGTGGAATATAATGAACAACATAAACTGATGAACAAAAACAGATTCAGAGACAGAGAAGCATCGATCAGACCGTCAAACCTCAGAGGTAAGACAGGGGAGGGTGGGGGTAAGGAGGAGAAATCAACCAAAGGACTGTATGCATGCATATAAGCCTAACCAATGGACACAGACACCAGGGGGGTGAAGGCATGAGTGGGGTGGGAGTGAGGAGCAATGGGGGGATAAGGACACATATGTAATACCTTAATCACTAAAGAAAACAATAAATAAAAAAAAATAAAACATTACTACTTGGACTGTCAAAAATCTTCCACTAAAATATTTGGCAGGTCAAGTTATTTGCTAAAAGGATAATTTCCATTTACAGTTTATATTGTTACTAGAGGCCTGGTGCACAAAAATTTGTGCACTCAGGGGAGTCCCTCAGCCTGGCCTGTGCCCTCTCACAGTCTGGGACCCCTTGGGGGATGTCCACTTGCCAGCAGGGAGCAGGCCTAAGCTGCAGTCGGACATCCTTAGCGCTGCTGATGAGGCGGGAGAGGCTCTCGCCACCACCGCCGTGCTGGCAGCCGTCAGTCCGGCTTGTGGCTGAGCAGAGCTCCCCCTGTAGGAGTGCACTGACCACCAGGGGGCATCTCCTGCATTGAGCGTCTGCCCCCTGGTGGTAAGTGTGTGTCATAGTGACCAGTCATTCCCAGTAGTTCTGCTGGGAATGACTGGTCACTATGCATATTACCCTTTTATCATATAGGATTTTTAATGTTAGATACTTCATTAACTAGGTTTTCACCGTATTTAATCGCACAAATGCCTATAGGTTCAAAGATTTTGGGGGTTGGTTTAAGACTACTGAAATGTCCATTCCCTCATGATATAATAATATAAGCTCACTCTCTCTAAAATTCCTCATCTCCACACCTTTCTCATCCCCCAAAACACATAAATCCTATTTTTAAGCTCTATTTCATCCCAAGAGTTTCTCTTTTAGGAAAATAACCAGTAAAATAATACCCTATTTGAACAGTCTCTTTAGTTGACAGTGTTTCAAGGTACCTAGAATCAGATCCATTAGCTAGTGTAACGTTTGCTAGATTTTGGGTTCTTAGGCACATAAACATTAGCAAAACTATATATATCATACCAGAGACAACTTAAAGGGACAGAAAGGGAACATATGCTGAAACATTTTTCCCCATACAAAGCACCACTAGTATAGTATGGGAGAACTGAAAACTAGGAAAGAAAAAATATGATAGAACATTTATAACCATCTCACATCAAACACACAAACTCTTAAGACAAAAATCCTTCTTAATTGGTTGCTAACGCTACTCCTGATTTTTTTCTATAAGTACCTTCCATTAATTAAAATTTAGTCCTCTCTTTTAAAGAGGAAATTAAAAATCACTATATCTTATAACAAATAATATTTCACAATGAGACTTTTAACCTGGGGTGTGCATGTTTTTCTACTGTGTCAATATTACAAAGATATCTTTTCCATTAAATGTAATATAATTAAAAGTGATTATACACTTTTACAGCCAAAAATAAAATAAAATACTTTCTTGTGGAAAGTATTTGAGGACACCTAAGCAAGCAACTTTTTTCTTAAATAAAAGCACATTTATTTCCCAGAAAGTGTTACAATACTACTAAAAATTGAAAAATTGTGCATGTGCGCACACACACTCATACGCATGCCAAAACATAAATTATGATATTTCTATTTTAAAAAAATATTTTTATTGATTTCAGAGAGGCAGAGAGAGATAGAAACGTCTATGATGAGAGAGAATCATTGTTGGGCTGCCTCCTGCATACGCCATACTGGGGATCTGGCCTACAACCTAGGCATATGCTCTACTGGGAATCAAACCTTGACCTCTTGGTTCATAGGTCAACCACTGAGCCATGCAGGCTGGGCTAATTATATTTATTGATTTCCTGATTCCTAATTACACTCTAGGTAAGCCTTTCCAATAGTTTAGAATCACAAAAGAAGGGGACACAACTCGGAGTACCTTACTGAGCCTCTACTCTGACTGGAGGTATAGAAATTTCATTCCTTTGCGTAGTTATAACATTCTGCATTAACAATTATTTCACAAAGCTAGAATGTGCTTTAAACAGCAAAAGGAGGTATTTAACGGGCCATTGATTTTAGTCGATGTCTGTACTCTCACTTGACAAACAGGTACTTTCTGCATCGCTGGTGC